GGGGGAAATTTACGCAAAACTATGCTTCTTCTACTTTTATTTCGTTTCAGACTTTTGCGCGATGGCGGCTGACCAAACGACGATCACTTGTCAGAGTGTCTGAGTAAAGTCGATCGATACTACTGCGCTGTTGTTTTTATATTAGAGAAAATTGGAACTTGCAAGGGATCAAATAATATATGTTTTGCATGAAATTTTATTTCATTTATTGAATTATTATTTAAAGCGATTATTATAACTTTTAATAAAGAATTACTTAGTAATAATTTTGAAAATGTTGGAAATGATTAAAAATCTTTGATTTTAGAATTATACAAATTTCTTAACACAGTTATAAAATTTATCAAAAATGTAACTTTACTTTCTTAAAATGATATTTTATATTTAACAATTGATTTTATTAATATTGTATGTGATTAAAACAAATATATAACAGTTTTACCTTCATCACAAATGCAAATTGTGAAAATTATTTATAATATAGTAAATAAATTTAATCGATATATTTGTACATTAAATTTTGCGTTCACGTGTGTTCACTGATCTTTAAATTTAAATTTATTCAAATATAAATATACGTGTATATAATTACATATTTATTACTTTACAATCGATATAATAAATAAACTAAGCACTTTCGAATTTACTTATATTACATTTTTAATTTCTACATATTCATCTCAAAAGATAAGAGATACAAAGAAATTCGTAATATCACTTTCAACAAATCCTCAACATTCTTGAAACTCTTCACAATTTACAATCACAGTTTAACAAATCCTCGAATTTCAATTTGAATTCGTGTTTTATCAATTGAAGCAACTATGAAATCCACGAGGACAATGTGGAACGTATAAAATCGGAATATAGCGCGAATTTTTCGTCGCTTACAAAAGAATCCGAGTGGCGTCGCCACAGAAGAGGGCTGGAAAGCGGTTAAGATCGGGGCGGAGGTCGCGTTTGAAGTAGCATTTCCTTGGCACAAACGACCCTCTTAATCAATTGCTAGCACCTTTATCGCGGCTCTCGAGTGGCGCCCGCCCCGCAAAAGCGTAAAGCCCAGGCGTAACAAGCCGCAACTTCGATAAATCTCATCCTTCCTCGGTGTTATCCCCCAACACCGGGAGAAAGAGAAACCGAAGAAAAAAGAAAAAGAAGAAGAATAAAAAGAAGGGAAACGTATATATATATATATCTCGATTCGACCGTTTAGAAACGCGAGGCAGAGGAAAACGTGGCCCGCGAGACGACGAAGGGAGCCCTCGAATGGAGGCCAATGGGGAGGCCAGAGAGGAAACTTATGAAAATCCGGGATTTATCGCGGCATGCACCACCGCGGCAGGCTCAGACAAATCGTCCGGAAGTTAACGTTCGATCGTTCCACGAATCCTCTTTTCGACAGAGCCACGGGGCACCCTCTGGACCAGCTGCCTTTGAAAGCCCTGATAAAAGTTTTAATCCGTTTCCATCCCCTCCCCAACCTCAGAGGGGCTGATTCCTGTGTTGGAGGCCTTCGCTCGACAGGAATTCTTGCTTTTTTGTCCGAGGATTTTTCGTCCCCGGGAAAAAATACGGGGAAAGGATGCCTATTTCCGGATTTCGTTCTAATGAGATCACCGGGGAATAAATAAGTGGTGGGATGGATTTAGATGGTTGCTTAGAGAAATTGGAAATAGAAGTTATTTTCACGGTATGATTATTTCGCGTGTGAATGTGTTTATGGAGAGTTGGAGATGAATTTTCGGCGTTGGAAATGCATTTAAAGCGGGACTATTCAAAGTTTTGAGAGAATGTGACAGATTGGGAACAGTTTATATTTAGTTTTATTTGAAGCAAGTGAATGAGAAATGTAAAATGGAGAAGGAGAAAATGAATATGCGTTGTGTATATATATATATATATATATATATATATACGGTGATTACGGTGTATAAATAAACGGGAAAGGTATTTTACGTATGAAATTAAATTAGATTTTGTAAAATTTCCATTTTACTTGCCGGAAAGATTAATTAATGATACAGCGATAAAACGTGAGATAAGAAATATAAAAATAATACACGAATGAATGACGCAATTAATTCGTTCTAAAGAAATATAAATATAAAGTACCTATTAAATCCAATTTTTATGTTTTGCGCAATTAAAATTCCTATTTCTTGTTAACCGGCAGTTAATTAAACTGCAGATTCGCGATAAATTCTACTAAAAAAAAAAAGTTCGAAAATTAAAATTGAAATCCAAAAATAAAACGTACCCGATTGAAATCTTATTTTCAATAAAAAGCGATATTAAAAATATATAATCTATCGTTCCATCGATCATACATTTTTCACATCGCGTTATTTCCATACTGTATATATATATATATCCAATTCAACTTAGCAGTATCGAGAAACAAGTTGAACAGAATCACGCAGACTGGAGTAGTCCTTCTTAAGACGCTTCATCGAACACGCGAAAAATATCTAATAGCCGGGCTGTGTTCAAAGGACAACCCTTCTCGAGAGAACTTTCTTCAAATAAACAGATCGAACCGGATCGTTCCAATGAGAAAACTTTTATTTCACCGGCTCGAATTCTCGATCGCGATGCGGCTTAAACGCATTTATCGGGATCGAGTTTGCGTATCGGCCAGGTTTCAAACAAAGCCGGACGTTTGAATGGAAATGACAGGAAACCGAAGCGATCTGGAATCTTTCTTGAGAAGGTAGATCTCCAGATTACATCTCCGCCTTCTTCGAGGGTTAATCGTTAATGTAATCGATTCCGACGATTGAGGCACGGGGAAACGTCGAGCACGACGTTCATCCAGATTTCTAAAGTCCGTGACTACTTCCACCGTGTATTTTTAGAGCGGCCGGGTTGGATTTCGAGAAGTAGAACCTAGAGAAGATTTTGCAAACACGTTTCTCGGTAATTCTCTGTTTATCTACGAGGATAGTTCGCCGTTTAATCGTGTTTGAGTTTTTTTCCTGATAGAAAATTTATTTAGTTTCTTGAACGTGTTATATAAAATTAAAACAAGAATTAGAGAGGAGCGATGAAAATTTTCTCGCAAAAGTTCCTGATATTTCAAACAAAATTACATTCCAGCACATTACATCGAAAGATTGTATTATTGCTTCGATTACAAAGAATTACAAGATGGACGATTCACAAAAGTTGTTTTACAATTTTTCGTGCAGTGTTTAATTAATTAATAGTTTTTTTGTATATAATTTTTTATCGTATCAATCGTAGCTTGTTATTTCCTACAAAATGTTGAAAATTATTTCAACTTACAGTTATATAAATATCAAGTTAAAATATCTTCTAAATTAATTCTGTATGATACACATGGAGATTAATTCAAGATTAAATCAGAATATAATACATGTATTTAAATATTCACATCATTGTGATTAACTTGTTGTTTTGACTGATTTCAGATTTCTCATGTTTTATATATATATATATATAGTTCTCAATAAATTTAATATTGGCATTTACAGAAACACATTAATTAAACGAATAAAGTACGTATAACATGTAACATGTGTATCACATATACATATTTGTATAAATTTTCAAAATTGTTAAAGAAAAATCTCGAAGAGAATTGTACATTTGATACATAGATCCCTCCAATTCTAATTTTTCAAAGTGAAATAGAATAGAAATACATTCACGAGGGAATAATAATTCAGAACCGGAATTAAATAATTTCGACACACGATAAATCCCGGTTACAAGTAACGGCGATCATTCACCGAAATAATCGAGGTCGCAAATTTCACGACAGCTTAGGGTACCCGGGATCCGTGCCGATAAAACGAAACGAATGGCCAGCTTATCGGGGAAAAATGCATCCGGCCGAAAGTAGTTTTGGGCGATAATGCGCGTGGCTCGGATCGGCGTATTTCAGTAAAATAATTCTGCATTAGGCCGCGCACACGCGTGCAAATGCTAATCTGGTCGGAGCCATGCGCGTTCGCGTTTCGAAAACGAGAAAATTAATTGCGATCCTAAAAATACGAGGGGACGATTCCCATTATAATAAATTCTGGGGTAAGTTTCACGAAGGCTGCCGCGACACACTGTCGGAATTTATGCACCGTATAAGCCAATTATTTATCGTCCACCCTTTTGCTAGCGCCCAGAAACTTTGACCAACGTAACACTTTTTTAACTCGCACCGTCGATTAATCGCGAGGAATCGTTCGATTATGCCTCCATTTTGTTTCGATTCCGAAGCTCGTTTCGCGGTGAAGTTTTATCGAACAGAATTTTTCATATGGATATCATGAAATTGGAGATATATCGATCGAATTTTGGTAATTTGTATCATTGAAGAATGATATTATACGAGATAAAAAATTATATTAAACTTTTGATCAATAAAAGAATTGAAAGATTATACTTTCATCGGGAATATTTTTAACATGAGACGCAGAAAATAATAAAAGTAATAAAATTTGTAAAATTGTTCTTGATAATTAACCTGAGTCTGTAAACTATTAATTGTAATTTAAAAAATTTATCAAAAGAAATCAATGATTCTATAAAATGCAACAGAAATAAAGTTAAATTAACGAAATTGAAATATTTTCATTTTAGATCCTATTCTTTAATTATTAATTTACAAATAAATCAATAATTTATCAAAACATTATCGTGATATTCACACATATGTATAAATTTAATTTTTACATTCTACTTTCTATTAATTAAATTTCTTTCAAATTATAAATACAATATCAATTTTTCCTCGAAATATCAATAAATGGATCAACAATTGTTCCTACCACCACGTATTTAATCTCTTCCAATTACGGATCAAATATAAAACTTTTAAACGGAAATGAACATCGATAACGAGAAATGAAACGGATCAATCCCTGGTAATTCCCGATGAAACTTTATCTCGACGAAAAGAATGATCGTTCTCTCTTCGTCCGATGGGGCGAAAGAACGAGTAACTCGAAAAAAAAAAAAAAAGAGAAAGAGGGGGGACTTACCCGTGCCAGCTGCCCCCAGCCTCAACACTGCGTCGCTTTGAAGAGAGATGGAGAGGGTGGCCGTGTCCTCGAGGCGTGCAAGAACTTCTTCGGGAATATCCTCAGGTTCGCGGAGGCGGAGGGTCACTTCACCTCCGCCTCCGCCACCCTGGCCACCTCCACCCCCGGGACTCGTCGACGCCGAGTACATGAACACAGATCCGTACCCATGTAATGATTGCAACGGCAGCCTGACGCCGCCCACTTCCCCGACCGGACCCTGGAAAAAAAAAAAGAATCGCCGAGCCGTGTTGAGAATCTGATTTTTTTCCCCGAGAGATTATATCGAGAGAGTTGATCCTCCTCGAGCGAATATTTTCGAAGAAGAAAATTTTAAAGAGAAATCGAAGATGGGACACGATACAATAATTAATAATTACAAGCTTTTGTTTCAATTAGGATATATTTGTCTTCTTAGATACGTCACAAGTTTTACTCGAGAACGACGAAAAATGGATTTACCCCCTCCACCTATCTATCGAGTTACCGCAAGGATTAATTTATTTCCACTTCGCCATATCGATTTCATTAAAATGATACATTTTTCTCGATACATTTTATTTCGTACAAAATCCATCTCACACCAAAAAGAAGGATAATTTTTACTTATGGATGGACATAGAGAGAAAGAGGGGGGAGGGAAGGAGGATAGGATATCGACGTTTGTCGAGGTATTTTTCTTCCCGCGTCGATCCCTTTATTTTAACGCTCGATATTACCGTTTTTAGAGGAGCGAACCGTGGCCAGAACGTTTGACGGGGAATCGAGTGGCGGTACATCGAAATCCTTTTTCGACGCGATTCAACAAATATTGACGCTCGCGAATTGAAATTTGCATGGACGGTGAAATTGGCAAAATATTTCTGCTCGTAAAAGAACGTTCCCCGACAAACAACGTGGCCCCTCGTATATAGCGGGAGAAATGGAAACCCAACTATGACGAGGAGCGACGACGTCGACGATGTTTGCCTCGGGGGAATATCACTCGTTGCCTGACGCAAAACTGAACTCTTAAATTTAATATTATCCGTTCGATCGACCTGAACACGTTCCTCGTCCTTTCTTTTCGAAAATCGAGTTACGGGAAAGCCGAAATAAAATTAGGCTCATTCGTGACGCAGCGAAGACATCGAAACGCTTTTGTTCCGAGATCCTTTGAATGGTATTAACTCTTTATATTTCAAAATAATTTCGTTATTAATTTCAATTTATTTTTTCTTCTATAAATTATAAATGGCTTGTATATGACTGGACAATTTTAAAAATCCAAAGAATTAATTGTGAAAGAAAGGAAAATTGTCTAATTAAGTTTTCACTTTTGGATGCAATTTGTTTAAATTTGCAAAGGAGTGTGACATGATTGAATTAGTTTTATTTGAGACAAGATAATCGAACGATTATTGATACTTGTGATTTGTAATGTAATTAAAAATGCAATGTAATTAAAAATTAAAAATTTTATTTATTTCATGTATATTGTAATAAATTCCTCTCATTATTTATATTTACTTGTTTTATCTTTTACTTTTTATAAAAGTGTATTTTGTTCCATTTTTAAATATTATATTAAAAGCAATAGAACGAAATACCAGTAGTATTAATTTTATAATTATTTTAAATATATTTTTATTCTTAAATAAATATCAAGTTTAATGGAATAAATTGTAATATGATATTCTGAACAAACTGATCGATTAAAGTATCTTTTGCAGCTTCTACAGGATCTCAAATATAAATTGAATTGCCAGAATCAGTTTACGCGTCATAGTATCAATTCTGCCGCTAGATGGCTTCGAACGCCATACGATTCTCGCTAGCGCAATATATAGTATTATGTATAATTGTCATGGCGAATGTTCAATGATTTTTACTCCATATAAAGGTTATTAGATGAATCTCTTTTGCATCGTTTTCTTTATTTTGACCCAATTATACCTAATAATAGTATATAAAATCCTAGAAGAAAAATATATGTGCCATTTATATAACCTCTTTACAATCTATAATATAAACGATATCACGAAAGATTTTTCAAACAACGTAATCCATCAATTTATAAAAATTACGTGACAGATTTGAAACAAATTTTTTTCATACCGAAGAACGTCCTTTCAAACTGTGGAGGAAAAATCTATCAAACACCAACAAAAACATTCCAAACGACAACTTCCCAGGATCATACATTTCAAATTCGACTGCCAATAATCCATTCGAAATTCCTTGAAATATGGTGGCTCGGGCCACCTGCAACCCTGGAATAACTGAAATAGTAGGAACGATTTCTGGAACTCATATTCATCACGGAAATTTCAATTGCTCGCGTGGCCGAAATCCGACGGAGGATGAACATTTTCAAGCGGACAAAGGATCGGATGGTCCACTGTTTCTAGTGGTCGAAATTTTAACTCCCTCCACCCGCCTCCCCGCTCCCATTATTTGCGTAAATTGATTCGCACGCCGCCGACTATTTCCGCGTCACGTATTTCAAGGTATTGAGCAGCGTTGCCACTCGTTACGTACGCCACGATGAGAGTAATTTATTTTAATGGTCATTTTCGTAATGGCCCTTTATACACGGCGCATGACCACTTTTGAATAGGGTACGCATAACCCTGGCATAATCTGGCGCACGAGAACGCGTGATAACGCTGCCATTCGCCAAATGGGTACCTTTGGTCACGTTGCAATTGTGGTTCTACGAAGATCAATGTTGAACAATTTTTTACAATCAAACTTTTGTCTTTGTAATTCGATTGACGATTCTTCTATTATATTTTGATAATTGGATTGTAACAATATAAAGTTTTGTGATAAGATTATTTTAATCTTATGTGAGATACAGAAACTCAAAGTATAGAAAATCTTTCATTAAAATAACAAAATGAAATAAAATTTCTATAATCCGGCATACTGGAATTTCAATAACCGGATTAATGGATTATACTTTTACGAAAATAATATAAAAATACGATATAATAATAAGTTATGGTGAATTTCGAGCATATTGATCTGTTAATAAATATCATTGCAAGATATAACAAAGTTTTATTGAAATATTGTTAAACTGAAGTTCAAATAAATAAAGAAATATTGTTATACTATGGAAATACAATTTTTAATTATCTATTTTTTCCAGAATTAATTTTTCCCTTTGTGATCTTTATGTAATTTAATTCGCAAAATTCTCTTTTACTGTTTTTTATTGATCTATTATTAAAAATTGCTTGAATTGAGAAACATTTTAATTGATTGGAAAACACTGACAGAAATTCTTGATATTCATGTTTATTAGAATACAAGAAATATAATTTATATATTACAAAATGTCTTTATATAAAGTTTATTTCAATTAATCTCATATTTTATTCATACTCTTAAAATAATATAAATTTTTAAAACTGTTTCTATTTTATTCCACAATTTTCAACAATATTTAATATTAATATAAAAAATAAAATTTATATAAAATTTACTTAATCTACAAAACTCAATTCAAATTCACCAAATATCTCAAATTCAAATCGTACATTTTCAGCTACATTTTTAACTACAATTAATTCGATGCCAAGACATGTTCGCCGTATTTCATTTTTATTTTTAAAATTTTATTTTTCCATTTCGAGAAACGTTTCCATGAAACAACTCGCATTGTCAGCGCGATAAGACAACTTTACGATCTTCAAACAGGCGTACGAAGTCGAACACGGTTGGCGAGGGGGTCCTAGGACGTTTCCTCGTAGGACAAACAGGCGGAAACGCGGCCATAACGGCGCGGATGTGCCTCTATGTGTCTGTTTCCGGTGTGGAACGCGACCGCACAAAGCCGAGGACGCAGATTTCCTCGACTATAACGTAAATACGGGGCCATGGTCGTAAAACGCCTGGTCCGTTTCACCTATCGTGTAATCGATTTCGTGAATTATCGAGACCGCTCGAAACATCCACGATCCTGCCGTGGGTGGATTTCATATTTGAAGAGTTAGTCGTAAGTTCTGCCGGAAATGCGAGAGAAACCTTCGAGCATTTGTCGAAACGTGACAGAGTTCATTGATGTTAGAGAATAATCGATTAGATGTGGATCATGGTGATTTGGATCATTCTGTAATGGTTCTTGCGAAATATTATACGAATAAGATTGTTTTAAATTATGAATTTTAGATGGATTTTATAAATGGCTATTTTTTTATTGATTTATGATCGTTTTTGGATTTATTAACTTTCTCAAATTAAGAATTCAATCACTTTTTAAAGTAAATTTTAAAATAAATTAAAAGAAATGGATTTATTAAGTAGAAACTATTTAACTTGTATTGAACCATTTCATTGTTTCAATTTGAATTGGATATATATTAATTGAAGATATAATAATTATTCAATAATAATTATTAATTCAAAATTTGTTGAATATTATCTTATGCAAGTAATTTCAAAAAGGACTAACTAATCTTTGAAAATGAGATGGATCAAAATTGAGAACAGCCAAATTATAACAAACAACAAAAAATTTATAAGTTGCTTAAAATATAAAAATATATGAATGAATTGCAGAAGAGAAACTCCTCTATTAATTTATAATAAGTAATATTAATATTATTTCTTTATAGATTCATCTATTCCTTATAATTCAATCTAACCTATACTTTAGTTGGATCATAGTTTCTATTACACTTTTATTTTCAAAAAAAAAGTATTACAATTTTTATTACATCAACCCAATCTAAATTGTTCATTGGATACCCATTACAATTCCTGACACACTTACACTTTAAGAAAAATATTGCAATCTTTATTATATTACCAATATAAATTCACTCAACACACTCAACTGATTATCATCTTAAAAGAAAAAAGCGATCTAAATCTAACTTTCTACTTCTTAACAAACACATTGCACAATCATCCACAATTCATCCATTTCCATTAATAAAGACAAACCCCCCAAATCCCAAAACAGCATCTTCCGCAACGATTGATTCAATCGAAATTCCCCGCTATATCCCCACTTCCTCCAATTCAACCCACACGGAACGAAATACCCATATACGCATCGAACACCGTTGAATGGAAACATAACGCGGGCCGAATTAACGCCGGAAGCGCGTTCGAGGCTGCGCGCAAAAGAGAGAGAGAGAGAAAAAAAGATTCCCGGATGGAAAATGGCGCGTTTCGTCCCGGAGGAGTGGTGTCGTGCATTGTTATCCCCTGTCGTTCGCCGTTAAA